CACCTACCTGGCCCGTGCTGAAATGGCTGGGACAGAAGTATAAGGAGGTTCTTAAAGAGACAGAGGTCAATTTCAAGGTGTTTAGAAACAGATATGGTGAGAAGTCGTTTATTTTCTATTTAAACATATAAATAGCATTTTAACAACAACTGAATGTGGCGTAGTTACTTTATTATGGTATATAATTTAAATATATGCATGACAAACGGATAACATTGCCCCTTTATGTACTTTTCTTGTCAGAAATTCATGTTTACCAAAGTCATTTTTTTCTTAAGGTATTTTTCCTTACTTAATTTTTTAAGTACATTACATACAACTGCTGGAGAGAGAAGCAGTTGCAACAGCCTAAGCCAGTTTGATCAGAAGTATTTTTATATCTGCATAATCAAAGTGTGTCTGAACGATATCAGCAGGTCAGCAGTTTTCTAAAGAGTTCCAAATCATAATGCTCACAGCATGTTAGACGAGAAACATTTAGGCTCATGGCAACTCCAATTTGCATTTTTTTGTTTCAGGATCTTAAATAATATTCTGCTGACATTTTGATGCCAGACTCCACCACAGATCCCATGGAGTCAAAGCATCAGCAGATTAGAGGTATTTTTATTATATTTTCATACTCTGAATTTATTATCTAGTCACATTGGTTTACACTATGTATTTAAAAAACTGCCTGCTTTGGAAACTGTTTGTACATCACTTTCACTCACTCAGAACATCGTCAAATATCTCACTCTTGTTGAGCAGTAATAAACAAACAGAGAGAGAAATATATTATATAATAAACCAGAACCAAGAGGTTACCAGAAAAGCCAAAGCAGCTTTAAAATCAATCCTTTTCAGGCTTGGATTAGATGAGATTGTGCTACAAGCACCAAACAGAAGAGCAAATGTAGCAGGAGTTGTGGAAATATTTACTGACGACTGCACACATGGACTCACACTCTGCTTTGGCACAGATGAGGCTGGTTGTTGGGTAGCCAAACGAGCTCAGGATGGAGCCGATGGCCAGGCTGAGGTCCTCGTTACTCGGGTAGAGGGTGACAGAGGCGAAGCGAAGGTAGGGCARCTTAGGGGTTTCTTCGGGACCAATCTTCACATGAGGGATCTGAGGGAACCAGGAGGGATGAGGGGGAAAAAGAGAACGACTCAGCGTTTTTTTGAAGGACAGCATATCCCCCATAACTTTTGTGTTGCATGCATGCCTCATTTAAATAGAATTTTAAATCATTAAACAAATCTACTTTAGCTCAGCATCAAAAACAGGCTCACATATTATATCTCTGTATTATAAAATGTCATGTTATTTCTTGTCCCCAAAGTAAAGGTCCTTTGATTAACCTTTTTGTAATGAAGAYAATACATTAAGGACAAATTGAATATTTATTCACCTTTGTGATGAATAAATAATCAAAGGACAACAAAGAATCAAATGTCTAAATCGGTGATTTAACCTAACACCTGCAGAGGTTTAAATGCTAAACTGTAATAATTAGCTCAATTGGGTTTTCATCTGATCTGCACAACTTATTATATATTCAAGCTGACAGTTCAGTTTTATGAAACAAGTCAGGTAGGAGGATCGGGATATGATGTTCCAAGCACATTTTTTTTTCAGGAGAAAAATCATAGGATGCAAATTTATTCCTGCAGAAATTTCACAAAATGCTTTAAAATGCGATGCATGAGAGCTGAGCTGTCAACAGTTTCTGCACACCAGGAGAAAACACACACATGATGATTAATAATGAGGTCACATGTGTAACATCAGGCATATGTTCCGCATAAATTACCCCCACCCCCCTTCACGATGTTAAAATGTGTATCACAGATTGGTGCAATTTACTCATTAAAATCTTAAACAAGATTTTTTTTCAGTATAAATCTAATTTTTTCTAAAATAACTACATTCACTTTAGTGTAATCAAAACACACTTTTAAATGGCTGCATTTCATGTGCCTGTACCAAATGCTGTGTTGTTTTGAAATAAAGTCAGCCATGCCAGGATATGCATGCAATTTTAGGTTTAAATACATGACACACAGCTTCTTATAATTCAAGACAAGACTTGAGCCAATCCAAATGGATTTTCTTGTTAATCATCCTTTTAGATCAGTAGAAAATCRTTCCATCTCATCCCAGGCAGAGAAAGAAAATTCAACATTAATTTCTACAAGGTTGTTCAAATGTTTTCTTTTTTATTGATTTACTTCTAAGTTATTTTTTTATTTACAGACGAGGTCAACAGTTTTTATTATTTTAGTAATAAACACATAGTTGTGCATCGTCGTACCYAAAATCTTGGTAGGAAAGAATCAAAACCTTTCAAAAAACCACAAACTGTCTTGTTTTCTGTTCTCACTTGGCATAAATGTAAAGTTTTAGACCATAATGAAATTAGATGAACGGAACCAGACATGGCTCACCTCTTTCTCCCCACAGATGTGACTGATGGTGGACACAGAAGCCGGACTGGAGGCGGGGCCAATCACTGCAACCACACCCTTTGGCAGGATCTGACACACTGACAGAGAAACAAACATGTTCATTTTGGAGACTTATTTCACTTCAAACTTTTTTTCTGTTCAGCTGTTTCTTATATATAGAAATGCAGAAGACATAGTAGAAGGGAAGCAAATCGAAGACAGAAAGTCAGAAGGAGAAGCAAGTAGTTTGTGTATTGCTTGGAGTGGATGCTT